GCTCTCTCTCTCTCTCTCTCTCTCTCTATATATATATATATATATATATATATATATAAGCGATCAAATGAAAACCACTTCAATTTGTAAAACCCAAAAAACTACTCTCATCCGTTGTTAATCTTATAAATTTTTTTCATGAAATTGTTAATCTTGTGAAATTGTTTCATATAATATTTTTTTTGATAAAGTTGTTTCATATGTGATTATGAAATTGTTTCATATACTACTTAATGAAATTTTAATGAAACCGTTTCATGTATTTCTCTAAAATTAAAATAATGAAGATGATAATATCCATGATTAACACCATCCACAATAAAAATGGTTAATCAGTCTCTCATAATTACAAAAAAATGAACAAAATGAAGAATTATGATTGGTTGAATGAGGTTTGCATGGTTTGTACAAATTGGGTGGTTTGCATTTAATCGTTCCCATATATATATATATATATATATATAGGGGCCTAATCAAATGAGAACTAATTAGTTTGTGGTAACTGTGAGAACTAATATTAACCACAAATCAATAGACAAATTAGGAAATTTATAATTTTGGCAATTTTGAATTAAAATTTTAATTAGTTCTCATTTGATTGGTGGTTAATATTGGTTCTCACAGTTACCACAAATCAAAATTGCCAAAATTATAAATTTCCTAATTTGTCTATTGATTTGTGGTTAATATTGGTTCTCACAGTTACCACAAACTAATTAGTTCTCATTTGATTAGGCCCCTATATATATAGGGGTGAGTTCAAATAAAAACCACTCAATTTGTAAAAACCATGAAAACCTCATTCAACCAATCATAATTTTTCATTTTGTTCATTTTTTTTGTAATTATGAGAGTTTGATTAATCATTTTTATTGTGAAAGGTGTTAATCATGGATATTATCATCTTCATTATTTTAATTTTAGAGAAACACATAGAACAGTTTCATTAAAATTTCATTGAGTATTATATGAAACAATTTCATAACCATATATGAAACAACTTCATCAAAAAAAAAAGTATTATATGAAACAATTTCACAAGATTAAACAATTTCACGAAAAAATTTCATAAGATTAAACAATAAAATCGACGTATGAGGGTGATTTGTATGGTTTTTACAAATGAGGGTGATTTTTATTTGATCGCTTCTCTCTCTCTATATATATATAATTTTTATTTACTTTTTGACCAAATTTTCATCCATTTTGCTATGGAAGAACTGTTTGACCATCGAATCGTGATACAATATGATGATTAAAATTTCAAAAATACAGAAAATTATTATCAATATACGAAAATCAAACACCCCCTAAAATGTAATCACAGGTTTGTTAACGATAACTCATGAGATTTATCGTTAAAACGTTGAAATTTTTTATGTTTTAATTATCAGACTTCAACACATCATTCAGTTCAATCAAATCAACGACATATTTGATAACATCAATACGTTTATAACAAAAAAAGCGTTTTTGGAAATTTATTTATTACAATACCATAATTATGATTAAATTGATTATCAAACTATTTACATATGAATTTTTTTTATTTAAAAGTTCTGAAACGTGTATTTAGTCCCTTTAAAAATCTCTTTTTATTGACGATATGTAGTTGTTAACTTTGCTAATCAATTTGAAAACCCGAGATTTCAAAGTTGGTAATGTTAGAAGGTCAGTGTCATGCATAGGATGAATGTTTTCACAAAAACAATCTTTCGATCTTCATGGTTGAGGTAAGATTTACGTACATCTTACATTTCTTAGACCATACTTTTCAAATGAGATATACTGCGTTCGTTTGATTTGGTTTAACCAACTCAAACAACGGCAATAGTATGAGGTCTTCATCAGTTGATTACATTTGTTGTCGGCAAAGATCCAAATTGACATTTATTGGCAGCAAAGATTCCCAATAAAATAGACGGGGGAGAATAAATGTCACATTTGACAATCCATCATTTTAATTTCAAAATTCCATTATCCATGGTGACTTCTACCTAGGTAATAACATCGTCACTAGGCCGTGTTGTCCCCTCGTTTTCCTCTGGCACCAATATATACAACAAACCAGTCTACTTTTCTAACTGTTCTGTCGCATTTTACGTTGTGCACCTGATAAGATTCTTCCTTCTTCATAATCAACATCGATCATTTTTTATCGCCCGTGACAAAGATATCATTCTGTCTCAAGAATATATAAACTTGGGCTTTTAAACGTGAATTTGGGTATATCAAAACTATTTCTATAATTGAATTTTTCGACATCAATAAAACTGAACACGAATACATGTTTGGCTTAGAATATGAGCTTCAAATCATTTGGGATAATATATTAACCAGAAAAACGAACATAAACGCTATGACACAAGGTTATTTATAATAAAGAAGCTTCTGATTTTGTTGCTTAAGGTTTTCATATGTAATACCCTTAAAACGGGCCTAAATGTAATAGCTAGTGCAAGTGAGGGACTAACGTTGCAAAATTGTGAAAGTACAAATCCCGTATGATCCTCATTACTGGAGAGAACAGTAGCCAATATCCTCTCCGATTGCTCTTCTCGATTCCATAAGCAAAATCCAACAATCAGTGGTAAGAAAGTGTACCGCAAGTTCGATTAAAAAAATCAACAAGTATTACGTATAATTTTGACTAAAATAGTATTTTATGATTGGCTTAGTAGTACAGTACAACATGTTAACAAATTGATCAACGTTGACTTTGAGTCAAAAGCGGGCTTTAAGGCCACGTAATTGAAGTCCTCCTCGATCATGGAATCTATAGGATTTCAAGGGAATTAGAATGATCAATTTATTTGACCAAATATCAATTCTTTTGTTTGAATCAGTTCTTGAAAGAAATGAAATTCTTTAAATTCTACATATTAATGATTTCATTTAGGAGTGTTCGTCGGTTAAAATCCGGTAGAACCTATCTTATCCATTCATGCATTGGATATTAAATTTTGTCATCCGATCCAATCCAACTAAAATTGGGCATCAGATCAAATCCAATCTGATTGATGATTGGATCGGTTCAGTTCCATCCATTAGATTTTAGTATTATTGATTATCCATTGGATCGAACCGGATTCATCCAATATTTTGATCTAATTTTTCAACCAATTAATCATATATTTTCTTAAATTATTAACAAAACAATGCATATAAATATCAACTAAAAACAATATCGTAAAAGAGTTAATAAGTATATACAGTTATTAATTGGATGGTAGATGGATGAAGATTGGATCGGGTTTGGATGTTGAAATTTTGGATTTGATTCAATCCAGTTACAATTGGATATATGATTATTGTTGGTCGGTTTAAATTGGAACAGATGACTTTCTGTATACCCCTAATTTCATTATTCCTTAAAATAAGTGAAAGAATTGAATTTCATCTATTGTCAAATGTACCCGATTTTATAATTTAGTTCTAAAAAGATAAAAATAAACTTTACATCCGATTCAACCAACACTACCTAACCCCTCCTCCACGCTAAACCCCCATCGCCACCACATCACCATTGTTCGCCGTCACCCACCCCACCACGACCAAGCTACTAATATCAGTTGATATTTATCATTATATTATATTTATAATTTAAGAGAAAACAATATGGAAAATGTAATTTGTGGGTATTTGGTTATTTCGTTACAATTCTGAAGCTATATTATGTGAAACAAACATGGAGATTTTAATATCTTTGAGAGATTTATGAAAATTTCAAAGTCAAATTGTTTCATGAACTCCAATTTCATTCTACAAATTGGTAGTTAAAATCTTGGTTAAGTAATGAACGCCAATAAGTGTTAACATTGAATGGAAAGGTAATGAATAATTGGGATGTAGTACGGTCAAATAAGGCAAATGGGTCATAGACCCGACTTATGTGCACCAAACGTCATCCAACACAACCTTTGTCCTCATATAATCAAAGTCGTCCACAAGTTGGAGATAGGTTTCAATGGAGGTAGAAGAAAAAGACTAAAATACCCTAACCTTGAAACAATTGGGTTGAACATATTCTATAAAACAACATTGTTGATAATTTGATATTTTAACCACCCAAAATACTACAATAATCCACTAGTAAATGGCTTACTTGTTTTCTAGCAATAATCCTAGACATGCATTGCATTCCACTAGTAAATGACTTGTTTTCTAGCAATAACTTGCCTAATAACTTTAAAATCAACTAATAATTTATAAAGAATTCCAACGACACGATTTCCATCTAAAGAATATCTTTCCGTGTTAAGAAAAATATCCAATTAAGAGTTGATAATAAATAAAATATTGAAATACGTCGAATAAAAGAGAATTACAACGAAAACCATTGAACCAAAAACGTTCTAGAACGGCTACACCAACCTTGGAAGCACATTCTAGAAGAGTACGTACCATCGAGCAGCATTTCAAATCATTTCCTCAAGAAATCTAAATTGTCTTAGTTTTCGGAGGTTTCTTCTTGATTACTTTCCTTGGAAGCACGTTCTTCATTCCAACAAAGAAAAGAAGTGCGCCGAGCAGTGCAACACTCTGCCAACAAATGCATCCCGTCTTATTAAGATAGCCAAAAAAACCATACAACTTTTACTTTAATAAACATATAAATCACAAAAACCTGAATGAAATCCGGAAGAAGAGCATGAAATATTGGATCATCAAATTCGTAGTCGTAGAAATCGTGTAGCAATGGAGTCATAAATAGCAGGTAGTACATCTGCACACGAACAAGAAGAAGAAGACGACTATAAATACCAATAATCTGATCAAAATTAAGTATTACACATTTAAATATCATAGTCTATTTATGGGCATCCCGTTTCATAACGGAAACTTTTTACAAGCCGGAGGTTTTCACGAAAACAGTATCGAGAGAGCCCTAGAGGTAAGATCTGAAAACCACAAGGGCGGTAGCGTGGTAGATAAAGACAAGGAGATGGGAAAATCAACCCGCGTACAAATCTTGCCATCTGCGTATGCTTGTGGCGACAGGGAATTGACCTCAAGGCTGTGGCGAAGCCTACAGTCACGACTTACCATGGGATTAGTCTAGGCATAGCCGGGATCACCCATTTCTAAAAAAAGCAGTAAGGTCTGTGCTAATCATATTATCCCAGACCCTACTCCACGTGGGATTCCTTGGATTCATTTGGTTTGGTTTATTTCATTGACAATGGGGCACATGCAAAGAAATGATGGTAAAATTCTAATTTTATCGAATTATGTGGTACACATTTGAGCGTATCTCCAACAGTATCTCCATAATTTCTTCAAAATAGGGAAATAAAGTAAAAATCTCTAAAAATTGTGCATCCAACCCCAACATTTTTTCCATTTTGGAGATTCCAAAATTAAAATACTTAGTAATATTTAAAAAATCATTCTCTCTCTCTTCATAAATTTTGGGGGTAGGCTAAATGCATACCTACCTACTAATTTCCTCCTCACACTCATCAAGATCAAGATTGACTTTTTACATTTTCAGTGTATGATTTCACCTGATTTTGACATAAACAGGTGTGCATATAGCAACACACTAGTTTTATTGGTAAGTTGGGGATCTTTTTCTTGGGAGAAACAAAAACGTCATTCTTTCTCTTCCTCCGTTAAATTTTGGACAATTCTCCAAATTATTAGAAATTGTACTCCTCTCACCTACTTTCTCCATTTTGGAGAAGGTAAAAGAATCCTAAAGACTCCAAAATCTCATTTTTCTCTATTTTGAAGGAACTATTGGAGATGTTCTAGCAAGCTAACTCTCAAGGTCAACTAGTTTTTCCCTCTCTTGCATAAGAACATAATAATAGAAGTACCCCACGATTTGAGAGAAGAATTCTAATTAAAATCCATATAACAAACATTTGACAACTAAATCATCTTCCGGGCTCATTTATGTTTCATTTTCATTTTGCACGGGGCTGATACATATACAATGATAGCATAAATAGAGATGGGACCTACAAAATGGCGACTGAAATGAGCCGCTCTATTATTTGGGGTAGAGGACAGGTTTGCCTACATCCCGTCCTTCCAAACTTTCGGTGGGCTATTCAGGGTCAGTTTGGTTTGGTTTTTTGGTCAATACCAAAAAAATACGAAGCTTGCTATTTGATATAAGTATGACATTGCTATACATATCATGCACAATTGTCTATCATGGCATACCATATATGGAACACCGCCACAAAACTAACCGGAGACTTAATTGATCAAGGACTATCAGAAAAATCATTGTATAACTTTTAATTTAACCGTAAATTACGAAATAAAATGTATAAACACAAGCCAAGAAGGATAAAAGTTGTTACCAGCAAATAGGCACCGGTGGTGCTGCCAAATACAAATAAAATCCCACCAAGACCTTTAAGAGCCATTGAAGCCAAAACCACATGCTTAACCTGTATCAATATATCTTGAAATCAGAAAAAGAAAAACACGTAATGCGAAAGCAAAGCCAAAACAACGCTTTTTGTTGCAAACAAGCAATATTTCTTACGAAAATACAAAAGAAACACCACACTTCGCAAGATTGAACAAAAAAAGCCAAATGAGATGGTCATTTTTGAGTTTACATTTCAACGTTTACCAATTGAGGTGTTCTTTTTGCATTTTCATCTATTTGTTTGCAACAAAAGATGTCAAGTTCAATGGTCGAAATGAGTTAATTAGAGCCTCACATCAATTGTTGGCACTCCATCTCCAATCTTGGAGGTTAGATATCTATGAATAGAATCAATTTTTGGAGCTAGTTCCACTGCAGCAGGGCCACCATCGTCGCCAAAATCATTGAACCTGTTCAAAAACAGGCGCAGATGAAGGAATTTGAATAAAAACAGATGGCTCTGAGATCTTACATTATATCTCCAGTTTGATTAGTATACAAATACCTAAAAAATCCCCCTCCATGGTAACAAAACAAAGGACATGAAATGAAGGGAGGGTAGAGGTTAATAGAAATGTTTGAATATTAATCAAATATCTTAAATGCCCTTTGATAACAAGGAAATAAGATAATCTCATGCACTCAAATAAATCACATTGTAATAGTAGCAATGGTCAGATAGGTAGAGGGAAACCATTCAAATTGAGTTGGGTTTGAGAATATCTGAATTAATCTAGGAACAGGCGTTCTGTTTGAAATATCTGCCAGTTTGCATTCTCCTTAACCATCAGTAATCAGAATACTTCAAGTTTGTCGGTTAATATAACAGACGATTAAAAAAGAAAGCACCTGCATTGCCACCTTGAGCGATTATGACCATTGGTTTAGTAACTAAAACCAACTACAAGCAAATCCACTTGAATGTATTAACCAAACAAAGGTGTGACATCAGGAAAGCAATAAAACAAACAGAAAGACTGTAGCTACTGCATAATTGGGAGTAGTGTTCATGTCAAGATTTTAATTTACAGGAACCAATTTATATTTAGTACACTTCAGTAGAAGAAAGATAGTTTCCGAGATTTGGAAAAAACTATATTGATGTATAAATCACGAAATGCAGCCTCTTGATTAATAAATTCTTGCTTAATTGAAGAGAGACTTAAATACCAATTACTTTGGTTAATGAATCTATACATTCAAAAAGCATATTATTACTGTAAACCTTTTGGCAGGTTAATGAATATATAAATACAAACTTATAGCTTAAAGAAAGGATAAATTGAAGGTATTGGTTTGGCATGCTAAATTGCTAAAACTCGAGCATCAGGTGTTCTTTTCAAGAACGAGAATCCATCATCCAAAGGCAATTTATAACCGAGGATGAAAACTTCAGTGGCCTGGCCATTGCCACCCTGGTTGGCAATTCACAAGGCAACCCAAGGTACTAGTTATCCACTTTGAAAGATATAAAGCCTAATTTGGACTATCAACCAATCTACCATCTTGAGGCCCAAATCTTGTGAGAAAAGGATCACAAGCATCAGATGGTTTGAATGACAGATTTCAAGTTTTATCCATTTATTGTCTGGTTTTCTTTATATAAAAGGGTCAATCTTCCTTATCTATCAATCATATAATAGGAATCTTAGCTATGACAGTGGACCATGGATGCATACAAATTGTTGAACCACATACAAACAACAGATTCGATTTTTCATTTCCTGAAGCTTCTATTGTGTATAACTGTGTGTCAATCAATCCTAATACTCTTCCCCTAGATTTGGCATGCCACATGATAGTGGGAATTAACCAAAAGAAGAAGATATGGATCGAAAAACCTATGCACCACAGCCTGAGGAAACTTTCAAAGTGAAATGCTGTCCAAGAAATGGAGGTATCAGGCTGCATACCGATGGTTTTCTTCGTTTTCCAGCAATTTTAACTGTTAATAAATTCAGGGGAATTAATAAAGCAGTTTGTGTACCTAGATCGCCCCTTTCATGTCCATAAACACACAATCAAACGTTCCAAATCACACATTCCCAAATCATATCAAAGGAAACAAACAACGATTTTTCTCAAAGAAAAACAAATCCAAATGATGAAAAACGATAACATTCAAAAAAACAATTAGATTTATATGTATATCATGATAATGCTCTCATCTTACTCCAAAATTGACATCACATTAGCCGAATTTCGTCGGAAAACGAAGCAATGATAGATCTAGGGACCCATAATTCGATTGAAAAAAAAGAAAATGTTGAGATCTATGTAAAGATTACGTACATTTGCCAAGCGGAGAGGATGAAAAGAGAGGCAAAGAGAAGCCTTCCAAGGAAGGAAAAGAAACCCATTATCGTTGTTGGGTGCCTCTGAGAGAGGAGAAAGGGCAAATCACGGCTGCTGCTCGGAACCCAATGAAGAAACCAAAGTGGTTGGTTGGGTTCTTTCAGACTTGCGAGGAGCCTATTTATTACACTGCTTTGATCTACTTGGAGTTTGGGAACTCTATAAAAAATATATGCTTATTTACATAATTACCCCTTGCTCCACCACTTTTATTTTTTAATAAAGACAATCCGTATAAATACAAAATACAAAAATTGTTTGACAAAAATAAGCTAACTTATTAAAATGTTATTTGAAGTAATATTTTGGTAGTTTATTATAATTTTTTTTAATTATAACTCTCATTAATATTAAATATTATTTATTACTATTATAAATAAATATTAATAAAATTTAAACATC